TATTATTGATCGGGGTTTAATTAGACTGGGAACGAATAAATATCTTCTAAAATTAAGAGGAACACACCTACGTCACCCATAACTTCAAGCACCGAGGGGGCCTAAAATATACGAGATATTATAGGTAAAACGGGACTGGTGTTATTTCCCACTGTAAGTAGATTTCCTTTTTACAAGTGGTCCGTTATAAGGATGTTTTACTGAAATAATTATTCGATGGATCCTCAGTGACACTGAACTTTTGAAAATGTACTTACTTAGCCCAATATTGAAACGTCGCAAAGTTCACAAGTTCCCGGTAATTATTATTCGTACGGCCTTAATAGTGAATTGGCATAAGTTTGGTTTTTGGTTGGTCTCATTTTCAAGAAAATACATGAGGCGAAGTTGGTGGTGACAATGCCCAATAAGTATAAAGTATAACTTGATACTATTATTATCGATGTGAAAAAAATAGGAACAATTAAAATGACGTTAACGGTAGTTCCATAAAATTATAAATTTTTTTTAATTATTTTAAATACTATTATGCCAAACTGACATAATTATAGTTAAATATAATTTATACACGTGTTATGCACACCCGCGAACAGTTCTCATGTTCAAGTCGTAATATTTCATAATATTTCATTCACTGTGTCGACACATTTATTTGGACAAAAAAATGAAATAAATTAAAAAACGATATTTTATAAAAATGTGGCTTTTTCTTAAACAATTCATTAGATACTTCTATTCAAAAACACTAAGACAATTACATTTAAATATAATGAGTGTTTTTCACTCTCTTTATATATTATGATAAATGATTCTCGTCATGGAATGAAAAAAAATCATACTCCATGAGATGAAAATATAGTTTTTTGAGGTTTATTTTAAAATAGATAAAAAATAACTTTGTCGTGTGGAAGAGAGTAAAACATAACATGTTCTAAGACTAGAAAACAAATCTTTTCTTTTAAACCTTTTGACGCACATTTAGTATATATAACTATTTTAATAACCATATTAGTATATTATTACATATATAGTTTTCAGGGAAGTAGGATACCTAATGCCTTTGTTATAACATATTTTTGGGTTTAACATTATTATTTTACAACCTAGGTATAATAATATAATTATGTTGTACAACACCATAAAAATAATTATGTAAATAATGGTGATGTCGATTTAGATCGGTGTATTAACTATTCGTATTTTCTCGTTATAAATTTTTATCCAAAAAAATACAGTAATAATATATATGTCTAGTGAAATGCAATTTTGTTTTTTAAACCTTCTTCCATCATTTACAGTGCGTTTAAAATAGTTATCATATTAAATAATTTATCCTTTCAAAACATTACAATAATATAATATATGGTGAAGTTTAAATTATACATTTAATAACAATTTTCAGCAATAATTTATGTCTGATTAAAAACTACATTAGATGATTACCTATTTAAAATGATGTATGGGGTTTCACGTGATAAATTCTGATCGCTTTTGGCCGTGAAAATCCTTCGTTTTTATAAAATTGTGTTGGATCGTATCGCAGTGATTGAATTTAACTTATTCTTGGAACGCTGCAGCATTGGAGTAGAACTTTCTATCAAATTTCAATAACTTGCTAATTATTATACATAAAACTATACGCCAGGAGTGAAATATATTGGTTTTTGATATTATTGTAAAATAGATAAAAAAAAAAAATTAAACACGTTGTCATGATGTGGAAGAGAGTAAACCATAATATTATGTTTTATAACTACAAATTAAATCTGTTCTTATATAGCGGCTTTAACAAACATTTGGTACCGATATTTTAATAACCATATTATTACCTATCACAACCAAGGTATAATATAATTATAATCAATTATGTTGTTAAACTACATTGTACAATTATAATAATGGTGTTGTCGATTCAGATCAGTATTATATTAACGTTACATTATTTTCTCATAATAAATTTAAATCCAAAAAATGCAATAGTAGGAATATTAGGCCTGCGAAATGCAATTATGTTTTTTCGTCCATCATTCACAAAATTCGTTTAAAATAGTTTTTTTTATTGCATTTAACAATTTTAAATATGAAATAATATCTTTCGAAAACATAACAATAATATAATATTGTATTGTTACTTTATAAATATAAACATTTTATTTTTCTAATATAGCATGTCTGATGAAAAACTACATTAGACGATAATTTCAGTTACGGGTTTTTTCACGTGATAAATTCTGTGCACTTTTGACCGTGAAAATTCTTCGTTTCTATAAAATTGTGTCGGGTTGTATCGACGATTAAATTTAATTTGTTCTCGGAACGCTGCAGCATTCGAGTCGAAGTTTCCATCGAATTGCAATAACTTATTTATTATTTATTTTTCGCGACAAGAGTCGTTTTGAATAAAATACTGTTTCGTGAACAGTCCAGTCATCTCCTTGCGGCCAAATACGTCCCCCCCCCATAACAAATGCTTTCGTATTCAAACAATATTATTTCTAACTTTTTTTACGTAAAGAAAATAAAAAAATTATATTTAGGATGTATCTAACCTATCAATATTGTGACCATGTTATTCAGACCCTCACGTCATACCCATTTCACTATTAAACCGATCACCGGACGATAAAATTAAAATATTTAGATTATATTATATTTTACTATAGGTATAATAATACTATTATGTTCAACGATTGTGTAGCTTTCGTCAATGAACGATAATATTATTATTACATTTTACCATACATATTAATTATTACTTTCACATCGTTTAATCTTGACGAACACCTCAAATTTTCTATTAATTGCTTCTATATCATCACCAATGACATAAAATTATGGCCGAGAATTAAATCCAAAATCACTTTTTTCTCTTACGACTTACATTATAGAAATACCTGCAGTTCACCTCTTAAATTGGATTTTATCGAAGTTAAAGCTATTACAGTTGAAAATGTTACTTGCAGTGCGGACCTATTTTAAAATATTTAAATTTAGACCCATTACACGTGCATAAGTGCATAACGAACAAAACTTGATTTGTGTTTTCTATTTATATTGCTATACGTCGACTTGTTGATTGTGTCTCAAAGTCTTAGATGAAATTTATTTTTTGGCATCGTCCTTCCATACTAGAAAAAAAAACATTTATTTTATCCGGATGCTTGTCATAATAATTAAATCACTTTAAATCCTCTTATAAACAGGTTTATGTGATTATTAAATGCATTTGACCTAAATCCTTTTGTGGCATATTATTATATGAAACTATTGAGCGCGTTGTACTTGACAAACCATTTGAATAATCATTTGAAAGTATTAAAGTACCTACAGACACAGATACTAATTACCTAAATACTATTTAAAATATGTATTTGAATACTCAGTAAAAAAAAGTATTGGAGTACAAATATAAAAATATATAAGATATATTTAAAAGTTTAAAAATGTATTTATAGATAGTTTCAATTACTTTTAAATGCTTATAAAATATTTTTTTTTTTACTTTATAAACTAACTGAGCCGAATTTTCTGTTTTACAGATACTTTTAAAAAGTAATTAAATGACTTTGTTCAAGTATTTTTTTCATAAGTATTTAAAATACGTATTTGAGCACTTAAAAAGTACTTGAAAACTTTTACTCGAGTACTTTACATTACTGCGTTTAAGGTATATATATTTCAGACTGTTGTTAGTTGTATAACTGTTTGAATCCCATAACGATCATTGTCATGTTGTTACTTATTGACATTTAATGCACATTGATTCATATCATAATATCACATATCATCACATATTTTAATTGCATACAGAGAAATACTTGGTCTTGTTGGGAAAACTCGTTATGTCTACTTTATGCTGTTCAGTTGTCAATCCAAAATCGTCGAATGCTTGAAATTATAAATTCATAGTTTATAAACGGATATCAAGTATAATTTTGAATATTTTTGATGGTCCCATTCATCGTTCTTTTAGTTCTATATGTTTATGAGATAGACAAAATGGTGTCGTCTTCGAAGTAACACGTCTTTATTCATTGTCACTATTTTATATTCGTATATATGCGCCTGCAAAATGTTTAATCTAATTTTGTTAGTTGTAAACGTTATCTATATAACCACAGTAATTCCCGAAACAGTTTTTAGATTTTACCAATTTGGAATCAGTCCGTGCATCAGGCGTGTTGTTGAGTTTAGAGCCTTGGAAACTACTATATTGCCATATTGCCACCATTCGATAATTATTATTAATACAGTCTGTTGTTTGAAACAGAGTGGATAAGCTTAAAATAAGATGCTTATGATGTACTCAAGAATATTATAAAATTGCCGACGACTTGTCTATTTGACATTTTTTATAAATAAATCAATAAAATAGGTACTCATCTATACATATTATGAATCAATATTTATTAAATCGTATTTATGTTTTTAAAATTATCTGAATCAATCGAGTAAAGCTTACCAACGGCATAAACTATATACTCCATTGTATTTATTGGTGGACATTTCCAAACGTATATCGTCAATCATCGTAACAAAACAAATATTTACGAATTATTGACATTAGCTATAACAGAATGTATTCACCGGTGTAAAATATTTGTTTTACAGCATATCTATGTTGTCCGGCACGCTAAATTGGCAGCCGCCGGCGTACAAACGTACAAAGCCGACATGCAACCCACCAATAATATTGTAAGATATACATAGACAAGTGTATAACATGCGATGCGTTTACATTTATCCTCAACCGAACGATACGAATATCGCTTAACGCGATAGGTAAATATTATAGAGACATAATCGATAAGGCAGATGTGGCCCAGTGATTGCGCGCAGAGTCCTGGGTTCAAATTATTCTCTAGACGAATTTTCTAGAATTTCTCCCCTCCCCACCCCATCAAAATAACCTCTCTAGGGCAAACCAATGGCGGGTGAAATAAATAATATTTGTTTACGTGAAATTAACTGATACGACTCAAATTGTCGGTTTTGTCAAGGGTTTCAAAATGCGAAAACAGAGAAGCACCGGCGAGCTGGAGAAGAAAGTGTCGGGGAGCATCAGAAGCACTGCGTCCTGTACGTCATGGATCAGCACTGGATCGTCTCAGTCGGCGATGGGAGAGTCCTATAACACAGACTCCAATGCAAGTTTCATCGTCGAGGTACTGTGGCCTTCCACCCCCGTTTTGGTGGGACCATGGTGGTATGGGTGAAACCGAAAGAAATTGGTGGGAGGGTGGAGCTAGGAAGGGATAATATTATGTATTGGGAGGGTGGTCTAAAATGGTATTGTTAAAAAAAAAAATTTTTTTGAATTCCTCACTATAGGACGAGCATATGGACGTGAATACGACGGAAACGTACGTGGGCGAATGGAAGAACGACAAGAGATCCGGATACGGGATCGCCGAGAGGACGGACGGGCTGAAGTATGAGGGTGAATGGTTCGCTAACAAGAAATATGGTTACGGAGTGACGACGTTCAAGGACGGCACGAAGGAGGAGGGCAAGTATAAGAACAACGTGCTGGTGACGTCCCAGAAGAAAAAACACTATTTCCTGATGAGGTCAGCCAAGCTCAAGGAACGGATCGAGGCCTCTGTAAACGCGGCGCATAGGGCGTCGAAAATTGCGTTGCAAAAAGCGGATATAGCAATATCTAGGTGAGTCGGGTGTCGTGTGAATGTGTTTGTGACTGTGTCTGTTAGGGATGAGCGATGCTAATACATTATATACATTAGTGGAAGGCCGCGGGTGGCTAGAAACTTTCATTTTTTTTCTCGGAAAGTTTTCGAAACATATTTTTCCACCGTAAACAAATCGAAACCATTTCCGTCGTTACAATCAAAGTGAATGATTGTACTTACAGGTAAAAATATAAAAAAAAAATATATTATTTAGGACCTATACATGAAACGTCATAAAATAGGTTTGGTATTATATTATTACGCACAGTTAAAACAATTTTGCAACCAAACCACAAGTCTGAAATAATTACCTACCGAAATAATAACAATATGGACACAACAGCTAAAAATTCAATATTTAAAATATGAAAAAAATTTGAAAATATCAGTGATTTTTAATTTTTTTTTAAATTTAATTTGAAACGCCCATCATGTAATTATGATACACAGATAACTATCATTAAGATCCTCTAAAAATCTATAAATACCTACCTAATTGTAACGATAATAAAATATTGCAAAAAATATCACAATACATTTTATGAATACATTTGAGTATAGTTATTAACTATATATATATATAATATAATATTATTATACATAACCGACATTATCGTAGTACAGTATATTAACTTTATATTATGATTCGTCCGTGAAGTTGGATACCCGACTGTACAATTGATTAGAAAAATATGACGGGAAAACTTCGCACATACCTTTGACCTCGTACGATTGATTAGAAAATTAATTTCGAATAATTGCAAAACGGTTTCTAGAATTTTCAAATCGATATTTTTTGTCGCCGTGAATTGTACAAGTTTTTAGGTAAGTGGTTTTTACTTTTTAATCCTTTAATATTTGAATGCCCCGCTGAGAAGTCGGCCTTTGCTATTTATTTTTTTTTTTTATGAATTTTTATTGTAAAATATAAATAAGATGATTTACATATTATTAAAATTCTTGCGATTGTGGTAGAGAGTTACATTACATAATAATATACAAAACTACATACAAATAAACCTAATTCCAAATTAACACAAATAAAAGATAGAGTAACATAATAAATTTCATAAGTAACATTCATAGCAGGTATTTCAAAACTTATTATATATTTTAATACGGAACATAAATATTTACTGTCTTAGATATTATAACATTTGCATTGGTCGTCTTACAAGTGCACGCGGTTCTAACCAATATTTAATATCGGTCGACGTCTTTTTTTTTCTTTTAGAATAATCGTCCGTTTCGATTAAATTAATATAATATGAGTTGGGGGTTTTCATCCCCGTAGCCTACAGCGGTGGTTGTAGTTTCGGACGACGGCCGTGTGGGTGAAGCGGGCGGCGTCCTGCGCGGGCGTAATAACACGGAACTCTTACCGTCGCGCTTTCGGTGCGAATCCGCAAAATAATTGACGCCCACGAAACAGGATGACTTGATCCGTCCGCGCGTGAGTACATCGCAATCGCCGCCCTCCGAGTTCTTCTCTGCAGTCGATGTCTGTGAGTTAAGCGACACTGTCGTCTGGAGATTTCAATCCGATTCTGACTCCGGGACATCGTTCATCTGCAGACTTGTGAATTCCGACTTTGCGGTTTATAGAAGTCTCTTCTTCGCGTACGACTCTCATAACGATATTCGATCGTATTTTTAATTTCGTGATTGATATACGATATTCAATCGTATATTTAATTTCGTTATCGACATACGATATTCAATCGTATATTTAATTTCGTTATTGATATTATTATCTCGCAGGCACTTAGATCGCTTATAAATAACACTCTTTTTCGTTCTTTTCCAACCCTTATTTCCTTTTTTTTTTTTTTTTTTTTAATTTGAATCCTTCGTTTTTATCGTGAAAATAATATTCGATTCAAAAAGTCTTGGAGCGAGCGTGAGGAGCCATCTTAACATACATTCCACTGTGGCAAGTACAATATACAACTTATTTACTTATACACCTAATTTAAATACGTAGACTTGTTTATTTTTTATAATGATGATAAACAAGTTCTTACCATGGTTATTTTCTTGTATAGCTAATAAGATAAGAATATTCTGTGATTAAATTTTAATGAAATAAACAAATAAATAAAATAAAATCGAAAAATATATATCCGAGTTCGTACTTAATTAATTCAAAACGCACGAAATAAATCAATAAAATATTGCATCGAAAATAAAATATTTCATAAATATTATATTAATTTTAGTTGTAAGATGAAAAAATAATATAAAACAATAAATTGTTGTCGATGTATGTTTTATAAAAATTCATTTCTATGTATTTTTGGTTAAATATATTATACTATTGTAGTTTTTAAGTTTATTTATTTAGAGTTTAAGATATTTAGGATATTATAACCTAAAATTCGTATTTTTGATTTTATATCAAGGTTTTTATTTATGATTTCAGAAAATATTTATAGAGGTTTATTATGGTTTTAAAACGGCAAATTAACTTAAAACGCACTAATTAGATCAATTAAATATTCCAAATAAAATACTGATTTTTTTGACTGTTATAATATTTAGTTGTAAGACAGATATAATAAAAGAAAATTATTTGTTTCATAGCTACACGATTTTTGTTTAATGAAAAATATATTTTTATGTATTGTTACCTTATTATATTATAACGTCATTAAAGTTTTAAGATATTTTTTTTTTTTGATTATCTGGAGAATTTTAAAGTTATTAGAATATTTTGCACTAAAATTCGTAATTGGAAATTGTTATTTATGAAATCAGAAAATATTTTGTTTAGGTTTGTTATAGTTTCACTATACAAAATTAACAAATAATATACGTAAATTGATTGTTTCATATAATATGTAGTTCCGTGATTCTCATTTTATTACAAATTGTACTTTGTTGGGTGAAAATATTATGTTGGTCTAGAATTTAGTTTTTATTTTCATTATTTTTATTAATTTTGTACATAATTTTAAGTTTAGGTTAGGTTATTTTATTCGTAATTTTACATTTTATTTCAATATTTTTTAACGAATTTCCGGAAGATTATTATTTTTGAATCTAGAAAATATTGTGTGTAGGTTTATTATGGTTTTACAATGGTAAATTGATTTAAAATACTTAAAAATTGTTCAATAAAATATTGAATCAAAAATACGAATTTTGTCAATATTATATTTAGTTTTAAGATAAACACATATTATATAAAAATTGATCGTTCCTAGCTACCTGAACGATATTTGCTTTATTAGAAATAATTTTTATGTATTGTTGGCTTAATAGGAACCTGTATTATAACTTTTCAGTTTTCAGTGGTTTTAATTTTTTTTTATTTTCATGAGAATTAGAATATTTTTAATATAATTTACACTAAAATTCGTAATTTTAAACTTTATTTCATGATTTATTTTCGATTATATATCTAGAAGATGTTTATTTATGAACAAAAAAAAATATTTTGTTGAGGTTTTTTTAATATGGTCTTACAATGGTAAAACGCATAAATTAGATCAATAAAATATTGTATCGAAAATAAGGTTTTCCCTAATAATATTATATTTAGTTTTAAGACAAATACAAAATATAAGAAAACTGATTGTTTCATATCTAGCTGCATGATTCTCGTTTAAATGAAAGGTTGAAAGGTGAAAATGTTATACTATTTTGGTTTTTATTTGCTTATTATTTTGAAATTTTGTATAGAATTTTAAAGTTTCCAGGGGATTTTATACCAATATTCTTGATTTTAAAATTTGAAATTGAAATACGTTAACTTTTGGCATACTAATTTTTTTCATGAAGTAGTTTTCGTGGGTTTTTCTGGGCCAACTCATGAATATCTGATTTAATTGTATTTGATTATATAATTGCCGTATTTTATGAGTATAAATTAGGAGCAATTTTTTTTTGGTTTATTCGAGGCCATTTAGGCCCATTGCCACTTCCAGAATCTTCTTTTACGTTTCTCTGTGCGTCGCTACTCGCTACGCAGCAAACCCAGGAGCCTTAGGACTTGTTTAACTCGATGTTCCCATCGTTGTCTTGGCCTCCCTTTTGGTCAGATTTTATTAGGTTTTCATTTCGTGACAGTCCGTATAAGTTGGCCCTCTACTCCCCATTATTATGTGGGGCCCACATTATTTGCTGGCTCTTGAATGAGGCCTCAATTATGGTATCTCTGAATAGCGCAATAAATTCTTTGTTTGATCGTATTTCGCAACCACTCGTTTCTCTTTGGCCCAAATATTTTTCGTAAGATTTTTCTCTCAAAAACATTACTTAATTTATTCTCATTCTACTTGGTAGACGCCCACTATCCACAGGCGTATAGTACAATCGGTCTAACGAGGGTCTTATGTAATCTTATTTTTGTTTTTCTCGATAGCTTTTTTTATTTTCTGTATTAAGTATATAAATCAAAATGTATCATGACCAATTATATTATCATAATAATACTATTCATTCGACTCTCAATAGGTACTAATATAGGCAATGCGTTTCTTTTTTCATATTTGAATCTCTCGAGACTTGAAAGTTATAGGAACCTATGGTTTTTGTCAACCAAATCTTGAGATTATTCTGCGTATAATAAACAATAATATATAATGTTATTATGTAGTATTCTCCATGGGGGATGCCACTGATAATAATAATAACAATACAATTATGATGAATATTCTAATAATATGTACCCATGTTACTGGTAATTTTCTTTTGCCGCTAGCCCGACCGAACGACGTCGCAGAATTATCGTTTTATTGTCGACGGACGACATGATGGGCGTACCCGCTGAGTTTTATACCACCATCCCTAACCACCATATAACCACTCCAGAGAGAATACATATATTTTTTTTATGTAGATACTCATGACGAAAATAGAATAACCGAAAACCGTCCTCCTTTGATTTCGTATTCATTTCACATATGTGTATATATTATTATTTCCTTTTTCCTTTTATTTAATTCGACCGAATCCGGACGATCGTGGCTAAC